GTCTTATCCCGTTTTTTTTTTACACATCTTTAATCATCAAAATCTCTTCCTCTCAGTAAAGTTTGGTTTTTCATCGTAAAAAATACAAAAAAGAAGGGACACTTGAACATTTCTTACTTTGGTTGTATTGTAATAGTCATTTTGTTTTTTTAATCGTTTAAGACTTAATAAATTTATAATTTTTAGTCTGTTGATGGAATTGACCAAAATTAACAAAGAATTGGTCTATCCTGCTTTGACCTTCCGCCGAGCTTATTTGAACCTTCAGTCGGCGATATCAACAGCAGAATCTGAATTAAACCAGTTTCTGTTACATAAAGAAGAAAATAAAAAATGTTTAGGTGGTAAATAAGGCAGTTTATTTTTGAAACAATGCTGCCGGGTTACTGATCTGATGTTGCTGGTTGTTTTCAATAGCAGTTGCACCCAATACAAACAAACATCTGACTGTTGAGAATGCTCTACTATTGTATTTACCATAACCGGTAAAATCCGTTATGATCAAAAGTTTCGTTCATAAAAGAAGATTCTTATGTGTTTATATGATGTAAAATGGCGAAAAAAAACATTGTTGATAATGATATTTGAAATTTATTAATTAGTCCATTCTGCGCTATGAATACAGAAAAGCAAAGAAACAATGTATGAGTCATATGCGATACAAATACACACAAATACGCACATACAAAAACAAAGTACTACAGTCATTGTATCAATCGCTTTAGGCAGCAGTTATACCGCTCTTATGGCGATACACCAATCTTAAGCACCAAAAAGAAGAAAGAAAATACTGGTAATCACTTCCAGTTAATTTAGAAAATAAATTGCCTTTTTTTTTCGACACTAGAATTACAGCTAACTTAGAGAAGACTCTCATTTTGCTACACTTCTTTAACATTTGCGTAATCAATACTTGTCGAAACGACGACAGGAAAAGCTGAACAATGTCTTTTGCTACTTTAAAAACTAAACTAAGTTGTTGGAAAAAAATATTGATGATAATTATAACGGTGATACAGATGAAACTAAACAGAATATGTATTCAAAAAAAAAAAACAAAAAAAAACGAATTATATAACAAAAAATTGGCCAAAAAATAGTGCAATGTCCATAAACTTTATATTCTTGTTTCTTTATGTTTCTGTATGGGTGTGTTACAATGATATTCTATTTTTTTGTTTTCTCTCTTGATTACAGACCAGTTTTTTCTTCAACTATACAAATTGAAATTACTATATGAAATTACCAAGTTTGAGTATTTTAACCTCTTTTTTTGCATAATTTTAAACCGTTTCTATCGTACAAAAGATGAACAAACAGTGTAGCTTTAACAGCAATACTTAAATAAGGAAAATTATTATTATCACGGAAATCGCCAACGTATCATCTCGTCAAACAATACCTTCAGTCCTCTCCATAGTTCGTTAAATGTTGGTATTAACCAATGAGGTTTCATTTGAAATGCAAAAGAAGCTAAAAAAAAAAAACGATGAACATTTGCCTTTGACAACAATAAAAATTAACTAAACCGAAGCTTACCTGTCCATCAACTTGAAAAGCTGTAATTACTGTTCAAAAAAAGAAGAAGAACTTACTGACTAGACTAGGAGGTAGTTCAAAAACGTAGACAAATTTAATAGATGTATTATTTTTTATCCAGTCTGATGCTCCACCAGTTGCTACACCTGAAAAGGGAAAAAAAAATCAGCTTTGTGGATTAAAAATAAAGCTTTAATAAAGTGCTGTTGTAAAATAAATTATGGAAAAAGTGGATGTAGAACAAAAAAAATATGTTTTCCCACAAATACAAGAAACAGTTTCAAGATAAATTTTGTAGCCAGTTTTCTGTTCATCAGGAAGAATATTTACTTTTACAAAGACACTTTCAAACGCACCGATCATATCGGCAGCAGTCCCAATTTGATAATCAGTACCACCATCTTCACGAATTTTGTCCGCAGCTTTTTTTGCTAAATAGCGCTAAAAACAAACAAAAAATAAATAAATAAATACAATTTTTTTTTTAGTAAGAAAAAGTTACAAGTTTTTGCAAGAACAAAAAGTAAAATAACATAAAACAAGATAAAGAAAAAAAAAGCAAACAAGAAACATCAAAGAACTAAACTTCAAATTTATCAGCTAAGAAGACAAAAAAAAAAAAAGTTACGCAACAATTTGCTTTCTCAAATTATTGTACAAAAAAAATTTACTAAATCATGATAATCATCTGAATATGTCCGCTTTCGATGATTATATGGCAGTATAATCATTTCGCCATGTGTATGCAAACTAATCAACAGGTCAACATTATCCCTCATTTCTTCACCCAACAAATAATCTCGAACGGCTCTACAAATAAGTAAAGAAACATTGAAAAACAATTAATTTATTAAATATAAACAAAAAAATAAGAGAGAAAAAAA